GGGGGGGGGGGGGGGTTGCTGCCACCAGAACCCCCCTTCCCCTTCCTACTCCTATCCTTTCCTTCCTTCTTTCCTACTGCCTCCCCCTCCCTGCCAGCTGTTGTTGGGGGAAGGGGAAGGCACAGCAGCTCCTTCGCTCCCTCTGTCCATAATGCTCTGGGCCCTCAACCAAATCAGCATGTCCCCTCTTGGCAGTGCATGAGCAGTTGGCTTGAAGCATTACAGACTAAGGCTGTCCGTCTGTCTGTCATGCTCTTCAAATGAGAATAGCTTGAAAACTGTAAGAGATAGAACATTTGTGTCTTCAGATAAATGTCTTTGTTGAACTTTAGCATTTGTTTTGTGACCAAGGCAAGATGATCCCAACTTCCAGAATTGGGGAAAAAAGTCAGGGGCCAGGGCGTTTCTACTGAGCTCCTCCCAAGAGGCTGCCAGGAGCCTGGTGCAGTGGAGAGGACAAAAGGGAGGGACCAGCTGAGGGACAACAAGAGCTGGGCAGAGGCACGAGGCAGTGGGTGAGCAGCAGTGGCCCCATCCCGAGCCCTGAGCAGGGAAGGAGGCACCTGGGGGCAGCATGGAGGAAGCCCCGGGGTGTGGGTGGCTACTGCGAGGCAAAGAGCTCACCTGTTCTTGCCCAGCAAAGAGGCACGCAGCCAGTGGCTGGGTGGCAGCATGGGCAGATGCGCCTCCAGCCCAGTGGACGAGAACAAGTGCAGGAAGGGAGTGGCATCTTCAAATGTTCAGCCTAGTTATATTTAAGTTTTATAAATATTTAATTTATTTAATAAATATAAAAAAAGTAAAATTCGTTTGTTTTTGTTATTTGAAATTCATCTGTCATTCTTGACTGGCAATTTGCTAGTAAGCATGATAGTAGTAGTAGTAACAACAACAACATAGTTCCCTAGAGAGCCAGGAATCCAAGGCCAGAGAGTAAACAATTTTAGGAATGTTTTTAGAAGGGCAGAAAAATAAGATATCAGTAAATTATACTATAAATAATTTGTGACATGGTCTGTAACAATGAATGATACTATATTCATTTGCAAATATACTAGTGTCTCACTGGGTTAGGCCTAAATTAACTTAACTTACAGAAGAGTTTTTCCTTAGAAACTTTTTTTGCACAGTAACATACTAACTATATAATAGATTCCAATACATGAGCTGTGTCTGGCCACCTAGTGCACTTCATTTAAGGGTGAAATACTACAGAGTAAGAAATAAAAATGTTTGTTGTTTTGCCACCAAAAGACACTTAAATTTTCTTCTAGTGTCTAGGAACAACAAAGAAGGAGTTTCTGCAATTCATTTTGTGAACTGACAGAATATCAGACCCATATATAGGACATGTACAGTTCTCTTTGAAAAAGTGAAAATACAGTTTGCACAAATAAGGTCCTTAATGACCTATTTGCTTACATGGTCATTCATCTCCTGTGCTAGTACCGAATGTTCTAGGGAACTTCAAACTGGAGTAGAATCATAGGTAAAAAGACAGGCTAAATTCAGATTTACACTAAGGCCTTTTCACACTGCTCTAGCATGTTACACCTATTTTTAAAGTTTCTTTTTAGTCCTAGCTCAATGCAAAGGGACTTTTTGGTAACAGAATTGCATCTTTAATTGCTACTTTCATCATTGTGGCTTGGCTGCAAAAAATAAAGCTATTTCAAAAAATAGATTTTACTTCCAGATTTGCTGAAGCCATTATTAAAACAGTAAGCAGAACACAGTATGACGTTGTAAACTGAGACTAGAAACTAAATCCCACCTGTGAAGGTGTGCTTGTTAGCTCCATCTTTTCTTGGGATTTTTCCTTTGCTAATCGTGCAGCTTCTTTGAATTCCTGAAATTTCTCTGCAAACTGAAGATACACAAGTTAAAAAAAAGGAAAAGATATGAAGCAATTACAATATACCTATAAAATAGAATTGTTCTATAGAACATATTGTAATATAAGGTATCATTTTGCATTCAGTCAGTGGGATTTTTTTCCTTACCAGGTGATCATTTAAATTACTTGCACTGTATTAATAGTAAACGATTGCGAATATGCAAAAAAATACATTTGTATGTGGACAACACATACAAACCCTAGAACTAAGAGTTACAATTCCATTCAAACTATATTAAAATCCTGATCTACCAACAACATAAAATAGATTAACATAACCAGCATCAAATCAAACATGGATATTAAAGAACACTAGGTGGCCTTAATAAGTTTCTTATTTCAATAAGTTGAAATTTGTAATCTATTTTCCCCTTATTAATCTTGGGCCTAGTTTAAAATCCACTGGAGTTAAAAAAAAAATTTTTCCCATAATTTTTAGAGGTTTCCCATTTGGGAAAATACCAATTTCTTCCAATATTTTCACTATAACTGAAATTCCAACTGAATTATTATGGAAGGGTTTTAAAAGAAAACCACAAGTTACATGCATTATAAATCAAGCTGAGCCAAATTAATCTCCGATTTATTTCCACTGACTTCAGTAAATTAACCAAGGAATGAACTGGTTTCATCAATATAACTGATTGGCTCAAATTAATTTTAAGAATTACTTTTTTTATATTTGGTTTCCATAATTTTCAAACAAAAAACATTGGTATTTCTTGGCGCACAGTCACCTTTTTTTTTCCTTCCAAAAACAGCTAAAGCAGCTGGACTAGAAATTCAAAAATGCAGAATTTCTTAAAGGAATGACAGAAATAAGTTTCAGCAATTCTACTCAAGTAAATGGAATTACATTAATATATTAAATCTGGCCTGATGTGTCCAATTAAGTTTTACAGCACATTGATTACTGTGGCATCTAAGTGTCTGGTTTTGTTTACCACTGTTTATTGGTATTATGATAATGTTCCTGAGAGCAACTGGTTTTGCATGAAAGTTCAATGGAAAAAAGTTGGCAGAAAGCTTTTAACCTACTACTGTATATTAAGCATCCTTTTGCACTGAGTGCTATCACATGGATCTGAAGGAAAATGAAAGCTGCTACTGTATCTCACAGATTCCTCATGCATTTTCCAAGAAAAGACGACCAGCTAGGTTTTCTAAATGTTACCTAATCTTTAAATCTCTTCTATACAGAGTTTGGAGAATGCCCTATTTTCTCAACAAAATCCTACTGCATCACCTCAAGTAATGCCAGTGGATGCATTTCCCTGGAATTGTATGGCAGCATCCAGAGTGACATGAGGGAGGGAGTCAGGCGAGGTTTCAGAATTAGGCCTCTGCCAAAATACACAGATATTCCTAATAGAAATACGATAGTAACAAGGATTTCCAAGAGGAAAATTAAACCAGTTAAATCTACATTAACATCTGGAGGACTTGAGTAGACTATTCTGGAGTCATTTTTCAAAAATAGCATAAATTTAATAAACAAGCAACAAAAACCCCAAATAAATCAGGACTTTTAACATTTGGAGATCTTATTTTTTCCCTCACTTTGTCCACTGTTAATTGGATGGAAATACAAAAAAAAAAAAAAGCAACTTCAAGAAGCTGAATTCCACAATGAGGAGCCTGGATGTGAAACAAAAAGATACTCTGAGGTCAGCCATCTTCTGACTGACAGCTCCTTTACAGATGCAACGGTGTGTGTCAAGTTTCTTGAAGAGGGTCAGCAGCATCCCATCAAGGTGCCTTGCTGCCTTGAAATGTTATAGCAGTTTTGGAATCCCTCAGTGTGCAACACTAAATACAAGCTTTTGCACTAAATGACCTCACCCTGACCAGGACTATGATTTTCTGTAAATGACAAAACAAGCAATCCTCTCAAAGAACCTGCTTATTCTGTAGAACAGTTGCACTTTGCTTTTGAGAAGGCAAAAGAACAGGCCAAGCGTTTACATAATTCATACTTGAAAGATCTTATTCATTCCATCTCCTTGTGCTCGTCACCTGAAGATTATGGGCCACATCCAGAGTATGAGATCTCCCTGACTGTACATACACAGTCATTTACACTTGTGCAGACAATGCAAACTGAGGGTAGTCAGATATGGTAGCACCTACCTTACATGCATTTTACTCTAGACCAAAAGACAGCACACAATGCAAAGCAGTGAAGAAGGTCAAGAAAAGTTGAAGCTGAACATTCAAACTACCCCTTTAGAAGTCAAGTAATTCTTGGCTCCTTTAAACAGTATAACAGGGAGCAACTACAGCAGCTACAGCCCAGGCAGCTAAACTGAGGCCAGCTGTGAGAGGGAAGGCAGCAAAGAGACATTGCTGCCTAGGCAGTAAGTGGCCCATCAAGGTAAACAGTACACCTGCAGCCAGTCTGAGGAAGTCCCGAGTGGAAAATATTAGGACTTATGGAGCACAAGCCCGGGTCCGAGCCTAGGCAGTCAGTCTGCCGGAGAAGCTGCTGAGGAAAGAGCTCTGGGGCAGGAGGGTTGCAAAGAAGCTGATGGCTGACACCTGGACTGCCCTGGCTGTAACATGGGTAGAAAGCTGCTGACTTGCAAGGCATACAAAACGTGGTAGGGGAAGCCCAGTGGTACAGCCAGCAACCTGCGGTTATGGTTGAACCCTGTGCAGGGCTAGTTTGTGTTATAGCTAGTGAGCGGGTTTATGTTTTGTGACAGTTTATAATGGAAGTCTGGGTTCGGACTATAAAAAGGGCTGGCAGAGTGTCCTGCCTCAGGGCACTGCTGAATGAGATAGGACCAGGGAGCCCAGTGACCAGAGCAGGGCAGACAGGGGGACAAGGCCATCAAGGCCAGGGCCCAGAGAAAGGTGGAGATTGGGCCAGTGAGCCCAGAAGCAAAGCAGGAGAGATATGCCTGGAACAGGGCGTAAGCAAGGGCGGGTCAAACACAGTGGGGCTAGGCTAGAAGGCCCAGTGAGAGAAAAGGGGAGAAGGCCAAGAAGGCCAAAGACCCCTATAAGGAAGACTGATTAGACAGTAACATTTGCAAGGCATACGCATGGATGCAAGGGAGGTTGGAGGCCACGAAATTAGCTTTTAAGGAGATTAGTGTGCTAGCGCACAGCCTGTTAGAGGGTGAGGGTTTGCTCTGGATTCCTGGGGCAACGTCCCTTTCCCAAGTTAAATATTTATATCGAGGTGTGGCAGGTGGGAAAAAGGGGAAGGTAGGTTCCCCAGACAGTCAAAGGGAAGCAGGAGCTGTGTGGCCACCAGGGGGAGTCATAGTCACCCCTGGGGCTCAGCACTTGCTTCAGCAGCTAACAAACTGGAAAGAGTCCTTTCTACCCCCTAGAGTAGTGGTCCTCAATCAGGGTGTCATGGCACCCTGGGATTCCTTGAGAGCCTTTGAAGGGTGCTGCGGAGGCCACACAATGTTAGCACTATTACATGTGCAAACATGACTCGCATGATAAAGCCAGAGATTGTAAATAGAAATTCTTAGTGTAAAAACATTCTAACCCATTTTGGTCTTCCCAGGTTCTATGCAACAGAAAAAAAATTCTCTATTATTTTTCTGTAGCCAAAAAACAAGTGAAAATTAAGAACTGGCATTTTCTGAGGGGTTCCTCAAGTCCATCTGGCAGGTACCTCAAGGCTAAAATGGTGGAGAATTAAAATATGGCCTTATATCCTTGTTAAGAAATGGGTTCCCTCAACAGCCTTTTGGGAATATTAGTTAAAGCTCCAGTCCTCCTACCCCAACATCACCAGGAATTCAGTTACAGTCTTTGTTCAGCCAAAGAAATCCTTTATTTAGCCAAAGCCACAGTCTTTGTTCAATCAGATTTCTTTTTTGCAGTCTTTCACCTTAACTGGTAATATATGCTTACTTCTCTATAAACAATTTTTGAGGGGCATTCACAGTGCAGTTCACAGGATTCAGGGGAATTCTCAAGTAGAGAAGCAAATATTGCATAGAGATTCTTCTTTCCACCCTCACATCTTAAGATGATAGAATTTTTTATCATTTCAAGGCTGCATATTTGTACATCCTGATGGTGCCTAATTAGAGATTCTAGATGTCTTTTCAAGACCCTTAACATTTCAATATTTGCATTTAGGTACATGATTATCTTTGAAGTCATGATTGCAACACTATTGTTTTGAGAAAGAAGCTATCTGTGTGATGTATTGCCCAATAATTGGTTTGGGAAGACAATCAAACCACATGAGAAGAAACCAGTCCATAAAAACGGTAACTAATCTAAATTTTGGTATTTGCCATCAACTTTGAGAAGATCTGACATCTGCAAAAGGAAAGGGCAATGGCTCGACAGATAATGAGGTGAGAAGACTGCTTAGCATGAAAGAGATGCTTGTTTTAGTGTTGCCTGGGCGTGCCCAGTTCTGCTCACTTATGTCTTCATTCTGTTGAGTCTTAGTCATTAAGGTAGTTAGTAATAAGAGACAGAGAGAGACTTTTTGCTACATACGCATGGCAGTTAGTACACTGGAACCCTAAATACTTGATTAATCAAGTACACAAATGGAATCCTGAAGTAGAAGTTATAGCTAATGTATAGGAATAATTTGCTTCTGATGTTGCAGAAACAAGTCTTAATTAAATTATTGATTTCCAAACTCTCTCAAGCTGTAGATCAGAACTAAAGCTCCTCTGTGCTAGGCACCATACAAAATGCATAGAGGCTCTGCCTCCTCAAAAGAAGTTTATGAACTAAATAGAGTAGAAGGTAAATAGAAATGGAGATGAAGTGACTGGCTCATGACTCAAAGCCATACAAGTAACGCGTTAGGTAAATGGGATTAGGCATTCATGGTGCCCTTGCCTCCTGTGCAGCATGCTAGGGTTGTTGGTTTGGGTTTTGTTTTTTTTAAATCTTGTTTCTGGCTTTAGTGTGCAAGATAGGTCAGAGTAGAAGTTTTCTGGGGAACCTTTTGAATAAAATTACTTCATCTGAAT